ACTGAAGCATGTCAGTTCTGATTTCTTGTTTAAGATTTCTTGTGACAATTTTCTCTCAAGTGACTGATAATGCTTTACAGGAATTCTACCCATTTACTTGCATTTTGGTGTTGATTAAACATTGTAAGGCATTTCCAATGATTATTGCAGACTGTATGATTTTGCAGGGTGTAATGAAATGTCCAGAGTGCAAAAACAAGTTGCAGATCAGGATTTCTGCTGATGATGTGAGTTTCTGATCTCATCTTTGCCCATTTCTTAGATTCAGTTTGTCATCTCTGATACTCATATTACTGGTTGGGTCCCATTGACTGGTTGGATGAGTTTTCTGAGACTTTACTAATGTAATTTAAGCTTCTTGTTTTGGGCTGCGGATACCTGAGGGTGCGTTTGGGTAAAACATGTCAGTCAGTTTATGTAGTGGAAAAAGGCTTGGGAATTTCTGACGTCATACATATTTTTTTAACATGGTACTGCATAATTCCTGTGGAGCTATTTGACAATTCTGAAGTTATTTTGTCTGGGCTCCAGACAATTTCTTGTTCTGTCTGCTTCAATTCAAAAAACAAAGCTTTTAGGTGTTAACAGTTTTCCCTATTTCCCTTACCACAGGGAGAACATATACACAAGTATGCTTTTATATCTGCTTTCTACTTGAGTTAAACTTGCCTTTTTTTTTATTGCAGATAATGGAGCCTCCATGGAAAGCCTATAATATAATGAGAAAGATGAACTACCCTTATGAGGCTAGTGCAATGCCTTCTGCTTTCTTACATAACAAAAGTGTTGCTTTTCACAGTTTCTGCTGCTCTTGTTAATATATTTATTGATGCATCTGTGTTTTGAGGTAGAATCTGAAACTTAATGGTCCATCTTGGAGATCAACGAGAATTTTTAGTTGCATGTTATCAATTTTGTTCTCTTTCCTTTTATTAATGATTCCTTGCTCTTTTATTTATTATTGTTTTCTTGCTCATTGAGAATTTTACTAGGAATACAAACAAGCAGACACAATGTGTGTCTATATGTTTGCTAGTAACACTTGTATCAGTGGTCTGTGTACCTCAAGCCTCAGTAATTTGAACACCTTTTGACGTTGCCAATCTGGTTCATGTGCAGCATATTATTCATAGTATGAAAGACCCCAGTATTGCTGCATTTTGGTTGATTACCCTACCTCAGGTTGTGGGAGGATTTGAATATGATGACGATGTCAAGCAGAAGATTTGGTGGCAATACAAGGTTTGTCCTCTTTAACTTCTTAATTTGTCGGTCCTCATGCTTGTTTGCACTGGGCTTTGCTTATATTCATACTGAAAATTGTAAAATATGGTGAGAATGTAGGAGTTTTACTCATTTATGAAGCTTAAAGGGTCATATGACTCCTGCTCACTTCATTTATAATACGTGGTGCTTTCACGTACTCTTGGGTTTTGCTCATGCTCTATGATATATTTTGGGTCTATGGTTCAAACTTCAAACTCAATTGAATTTGGGCATTTACTTGAAAGTCTAACTTATATCAAAGGTGTTGTAGATTGATATGGAATTATACTTAACCTTCTAAAATGGTAAGAAGCAATCAGGTGTAAGTTCTTCTACTATTTCTGTTGAGTAACATGCTTTAGCTGTCAGTTTGATATTCTCCTGGCCCTAATATGATGCTTTTCATTATGTCGTGCATGTGTCTAGGCCTAATGTTTTCATTCTCTCCTTCTAGGAATCTATGAGGTATGATGTACTCCAAGATGCAGTAGCTAAGCGAAAACCAGGGTGGGAGTACTTACAAGAGGTAAGAACATTTTCTTGTCATAGATCATCATTTTGAGCACCAAAAACTTTAAATTGATTTTTAAATGCTTCTCCAGTATAAATTGGAATGTTTTGAGCTATTGGTTAGCCTACGGGCTCTTAGCTTATGTAGCTAGTTGCATAGCTTATCCTTGGGGCTGTAATCTTACAAAGTTTCTTCACCACTTTTTAGTTGCAAGAAGCTAGGGTTGAAAACCTGAAATTTACATCTTAATTCACCTTTTATCAAACTTCTATTAGGATCACCTTGCACGCTGTTGTGATTCATCATATCTTTGTTCTGCTGTAAAGATCTTTCAATTAATTTATGTATGCAGGAGATAACCTTCAAACAGAAACAAAGTTTGGAAAATTTTTAATCGAATCCTCAGTCTTGTATAATTTTTTTGGCAGGCCTTGTTCTCAATAGATCCAGAGCGTGCTAGAGATGATCCAATTATTGTAAAAAATGTACCTTACCACAAGGCCAAAAAGGCACTAGAAGCAGAAGTGATGAAGCTTGATCCTCCACGGCGACCACAGAATTGGGGGGTAAATGTCTTTTCCTTGACTTTGATACTGCAACTTGCCAAGTTTTGCAGTTTCTTGATGGTTGAGTAATGAAGGATAACTTAATGGTCTCAGAAAGTTAGTCAGAACATGGGTTAAAATGTCAGTAATGTGTAGCTTTAGTATTTCTTTGGACCTTTGTAAGTCACCATGTGCAAATATCATTGTTTTTGCGGAAATTGCAAGTACTGTTTTCGACTGTAGTCTATTCTCTGGCTGGTGCCGTTGACTGTAGTCTATTCTCTGGCTGGTGCTTTCTATCGGAACTGAAGATATTAATATTTTTTGGACCTGCTATTCTGCTAGTATGTCCGATTTCTTTGTGGGCTGTCATCATATGTTGTACCTTTTAAAACAAGTCCTTTGTGCTCCTTATTTTCTAATATAAGTGTTGCAGGAACTGAATCTTCCATTGAATGCATCATCTTGGAGTGAGGAAGACCTCAAAGATCCGAAGAAGTTATATGAAATGACAGTCCTCCTTAAAGCACAACGAGAAATTGCTGATCAAATGCTAGATGTTCAGTGGGAAAGAAAATGGCGTCAAGAGAAGGTTAGTCATTTGACAAGTTCTACAGGTCTGACTAGAGATTTTGTTGCTGATGATATGGTGTATGTTTCATATTTTTCACATTGCCGTCTCTTTGTCAAAATGATGTGCGTATGATTTTTACATGATATTACACTCTTCTCTTGTTCACCAAAACAATGATATGGAAAGTCTCATACATAGTTTATTCTTTTTTACACCTTTGGTTCTCCAGTATCACATTCTGCCATAATTCCTCAGAAATTATGAACTGTTCTTACCAATTCCTGAGTCCTTTTGATGATTCTCTTAATATAGTTAGTTATGCCACAATATTTACCCATGAGAGGGATAAAGGGGAACATAGCCAAAGAACACTACAAACTGTCACACCTAATCTATTTAGAGGAAGCTGAGAGAAAGTTTGCATTAAGTATTCATATCTGAATTTTCCAGAAGGATAAAAAATTATTCTGAAACTGGCACGCTATTCCTTGGAAATTGTAGTTGAATGAAATGCTGCAAGAGAAGATTCAACCCTACTTGCATAACATTGACAATGGAGTTCTCCCTCAGCCAATTGTAATTCAACCCAGAAATCAGGATCAAAAGGTATGTTTCTCTTTTCTTTTGTACTGATTGTTACCTATTTCTGTTGGATTGCATGGACATGTAGGTAGTTAATGAAAATACTAAAAAAACTATCAAAGCAAGTACTTATTTGTTCTCTTTAAGACACCTAAATTAGCTTGCCAAGAACTTAGTCAGAATGAATTCATCAGATTTATGTTAATATAAGCCAATAATGATCATCTTCTCAAAAGTGCCGAACTTGCAGAACAAAAGGCTTTCTTGGGGCTAAGTTGCTGGCCAAGACTGAAAACTTTAGTAATACTGCATTTTCTTAGACCTTGATTGCATCAATTGAAAGGAGTTATGGTGAATGGTGATGATTAACTATTTGTCTGTTGTAGAACGACAGACTAGTCACTACCCCGGGCTATAGTTTTCTGCGTCAAGAAATCTAGACGGCCAGGCATTATATGCATGTTTTATGGCCTGCATTAGAAATACTTCAGCAAGTATCATTATTTTTCTTCCCGCATATCTGGTGTAATAGCATGCATGAAATTGTGTAACCCCTTTTTTTTTTGGTGGTTTGCTGCAGACAAAGCGACGAAGGTGGTTCTTTTTCTGATGGCCATCGGGTCGATATGATTTTTGTTAGTATGTTAATCCAAGTGGTCTTAAACTTGGTTCCTTTTGTCGCTAGATTTTGGATGAGTGGGTAAATTCTCTCTACTTCTTCGCCATTTTGTTGGCTGAAGGCCTCCCATTGCATATCTTCCTTCAGGTTTCGCTTATATTGACTATTCTGGGAACTTTCTCTTTCTGCCTCTGACTTAATCCACATGTAATTGGTATTTAAATGGCAAATCAGCTACTAAGATACACTTGCTATCGAAATTGTACCCGCTCAATATGCAATTGTGTCCGAAATAGAAGCTTTGCTTCAATTTTTTTTGATGAAATGCCATACTACTGATTCTGCTGAAAAGCTGCCTGTGCTTTGCTGAATCAATAGGTAAATAACAAATGAGTTGTGGAGCCAAAATTTAGTTGGACTGAATTTATCAATTCGTATTTTCAATCCAGATGCATCAAACGCGACCCTGAAAAATCTATTTCTGTCAAAAGTATTATATAGCTAAGTGTCTTCTGCATAAAATGCCAGACAAAAAGGGGGAAGATGATTGAAAATTCTCTCATTTTCTACATCCACTCCAAAACAGAGTCTGTGATATACTTGTATCAACCACCACTGTGCTCCTGTCGACATGATTTTTCTCTCCCCATAATCAAAGAAATATTATTGATTCACGATTATTGCCTACAAACGCACAAACCTTAACTTATATTAAATGTCTTCCATATACTTACATTTGATGATGAGGAACCAAAAATGCATAAAACTCCTCATTCTCTCATAGAAAATAGAATAGGGAATAGTAATAATTGTTTTATTTTATCAATATCCGACAACCAATCGTCTACAATGATCACAGTAGTAAAACAAGGGGCTGCAGAACGAAAATTGCAAAAATCTACATTTGCAGTGAACTGGGGTGGAGAAATCAGAACAATTGAGATTAATTAGCCAGCCCACAATCTTATTTGCTATATTATTCCTAGAACACCATTTTGACTTACTTGAAACCATTCTTAAGCTTCGTCTCTTTCTCCATTTTCATCGATAGCACATCGGATTCAAAGAGGGTCCTCAACGAGTGTTCCTTGGGCACCTAGAGATCCTGGTGCAGCTGCGCTGGTAAGGGTTAGCCCTACCATGAGCATTGCAAGCATAGTAGGAGTTACCACGCCTGCTGCATGGGACATTGCCTCTTCTCATGGCATCATAACTGATATACCTTGGCCGACCTGCAAGAGTTCTTCTGGCTGTTTCAGACTCCACAGACATCTCCTCATCCTCATCAATGAAGTCCGCAACGAGTCCGCCGAGGCCATCACCGCCTTTGGATCCTGCCAGGCTGGTGAGGCCAAAGACGGTGTCAAGTGTGGGTGATGAATCAGCAAGCACAGCCAAAGCCATGGCCAGGAGGAGGATGGCTGCCCCTAGTCGAATAGCCATTTTCATTTTTACCAAAATGCGGGAACACGAGGAGAAAGAGAGAAAGAAATGAAGGGAATAAGGAGAAGGAGGGTTTGAATATCAAGTTCTCTTCGGTTTCTCTGCCCTGCCTGCTAAAGGAGGGAGAGCAGGAGGGGAAGGAATTTTGTTGGTGCTAAAATGGAGGAGGTTGTGGGATTGGAGGAGAGAAGAATATGATGAATATTCAAGAGTTTTTGGTTCTTGTTTTGTGTCCTCTGTGCTTGTGTGATTTAACGTAATTTACGTAGATGGAAAATGTGCGTGCTGACTATTTGAAGGCCCGTTTCTTCCTCCTAGTTTTTCTGTTCTACAAGGTTGCCACCTTGACAATTAATATGCATGGTTTCTCTATGGATCAGTTACATTATAGGGAATTTTGCTCAAACCAGTGAGGTTGATGTCCATTCTTTGCTTCTCGTTTCTTTCTCTTTTATTTGTACATAACATTAAGGGTCAAGTTTTTTTTTTCCCTCAAAAAAAAAAGAAGGGCTACTAAAATCAAGGACCTAGCTCAAAAAAGAGACCAAAAAAAAAAAAAAAGGAACCCAAAGCTCGGTTCAAGTTTCAATTGGCTGTATTTGGATAATTTCTTTTATTTACTTGTATTACAAACGCATTTTCCAACATGTTCTTTTACTGTTTTCTATCACATTTTTATCTCACGCACGTCATATCACAAAAAAAAATATATATATATATAACAATGATTATTCCAAATAATTTACTTCTGGCTAGTACTAGCATTCGAAGGCTCAATACAACATTATTGACATCAGTTGTAGAAGGGCAACACTAAAGCAAGAGTTGAGGGCTAGAGCCCATGAGGCCGAAAGTCGCACCTTTTAAAATGAAATTCGGAATACAATTTCATTAAAACCAATTACTTCTACTCCCCAGCCTTTCTAGTTTGGAGATAATGAGTCAACGTGTTGTGTCCCAGAAATTAAGAAAAATATAAATAAATACATAAGGTGTAAGTAAGTCCATGAACCCCCAAAAAGTGTAATGGAGCTATCTATATATTTGAATTGAGCAGTGAATGTTGCAACACGAAGCTCCAATCCATGAAACCCTCTAAAGCAAAAAGTGTTGACGGTTTGGGCCCAACAGAGTCTTTTCTCTGTTTCTACATTCCACAACATTTTTGTATCTGTTCCTCTATGATCAGCCTTTTCACCAAAACAAGGTTTTAACCTTATATCAGTTTTGCACAATACTATGGGTTCGCCAAGCCAAGAAAGCGATCATAATCGAAGAACTTGGAGTAAATTCCAACCAAGCCAATTCTTAATCAGTGTGGTGATTTTATTGCGAATTCGGGATTTTTTTTTTAAGATACTAACAATTTTGAAAGGTGTACGATGGGTCGGATGGTTCAAGAGAAGAGAGTGTAAATGAAACGTCTCAAATTCAAATCCTCTCACTCACACTAAAAAAATAATTTAAGGCTAATTTAGTGTATGAACAATTTGACATCAAATCCCTACCAAACCCCAACGTAAAAAAAAACGTTTGTTTTTTAAAAAAAAAAACTGAAAATCTCTTTCTTATTCCTCTGCTTGGCTAAGGCAGCAGCAAATCAACGTCAGAGCAGGCTGGCGCTAATCATAATTGTTCACTTTGACTAAGCAATTGACTCCACGAGGAAAAGAAGTGTAAAATGTATGGTGATCGAAAGCATTGAATTGCTACGAAATCTACGCATCTTTAATTCATTAAGGAACATTTTCTCCCTCTAAATAAAATTGCTCTTTATTTTGACTGATTTCGTGATGAAGTTGACACTTTTTTTTTTTTTTTTGTCCGGCTGAGCCGTTTGGAATAAAATTAAGACTTTAAAAACGTGATATCCTATATCATAAATATGTGAATTCTTAAAAAAACAGCGTGTCGGCTGGCCATCTTTTACTTCACATTCGCCTTTTGAGTCGTATGTTACTTGGAGTAGGATTTTCTAAAATTAATTTCACAGACACGGCTGTCATTTTGCCGTGACTTTGCTGCCAAAGCAGCACATTTTGTGTCTGAGATTAGTGATAAGATTCTCATTCCCTTCAAGAACGTCGGGTGATCCCCGCAGAATGGCAATTCAAGTTCCGCCCTACAGTACAGATAATTCAACCGGCAGTAGGAAGGATTGTGATACGGGCAGAATGAGACCAATCTAATTGGACCAGATGCCCATTTGGCTTACTTATGGCAACGCCATCTCTTGATTCCTCTCATCCTCATCCTATTTTTAAATTATCCAAGGAATGTCAATCTTGTCATTGATCAATACCGTTTCACACACTACTTGAGTCTGGCATTTTTTAACATTCTTGAGTTCCTTAGTCAGTCACCCCCTGCTCCAAGTTATACGTCTTAATTTTTTTTTTTTGGCCAATGAATCTCATATTGCCGACACCAAGGCAAGAGGTAGGGGGCGGATTTTATGTTTAGTCAAAATCAGCCTCGTACTACTGCTCAACGTGTACAAAGTTACAGGGTGTAGAAAGCGATGCAGGAAATTTCCTCTGGTTCTTGATTTCCAGAATGGACACCACGGTAGGGAGTCATCAATCTGCGTCTCGTGTCATATTTTGAGATGATCCCTTAGCTTGAATGTTCAACGGTCTCCTCATTCATTTATCTGGTTGGTGGAAGAAAGCGAAAAATGGAAATCTGCTCTTTACCTTACAAAATTGCCCTGCAAAACTCTTGTAATTGATCATATCCAATTTGTGGCTGTCACTGACAATCACAGGGATTTGGTAAATAATTGTTAGGGTTGACTCGTTTTTCATGCCAACGAGAAACTCATCACTTCATCGATCTCTCCTTTGTCTAACATTTGAGTAATTGATTGGTTCTAGATGCATTTTTTTTTTCTTCTTTTTATGTAACTCCTTGCTTGCTACGTGTTGTTTTTGTACCCGCTATTTCGTCTTTCAAAGTATAGTGTGAGTGCTCTCTTGAAGTTTCCGCTCCCATCGTTTAATCAGTGATCATGACTGCTTGCTTAGTGACAGTAGTAATTTGTGCTCATTATCCCATATTTGAACGGGGCATCGATGAATCCATCTATACAAGAAGCAAGTGTAAATGAGGGGTAACTTCAAAAAAAAAAAAAAAGGCAAACAAGTAATGCTAGGGATGGATATAACTACTTAGGGGTGGCAATTTTCGACACGACCTGAAAATACGACACGAACCTATCACGAAATTAATGGGTTTGGGTTGAGGTTTCGGAAATTCGGGTCAGAATAGGGTTGAACCCCGATGAACCCAAAAAGAAAACAGATCGATTTCGGATCAACCCGTGGTGACCTAATATGACCCGATATGACTCGTTTACGAATTAAAAATAATTTAATAAACATAAAAATAATTTTATCTAACTAAACTAAGTTATTCTTTTTTTCAAAGGCATTAATTACTTAATCCTAAATGAATTTATTTAATTTGTGTGAAGTTGAAATTATTATATTTGGACAAATAATATATTATATTATTTTTTACTTTTATACTGTTTTAATTTATTTTATATTTTGTTTGGGATAAAACACTTTTACGGTGTTTAATTTATTTTAGATTTGGTTTGGAATTATTTATTTAAATTTGTATTACTTGATTATGTAATTAGTTTTGTGAGAAATTAATTTTATTAGAAATTACAGTGATAAATTAATAAATTAAAATTAAGTTTCGGGTCATTTCGGATCGACCCGCCAACCCGTCAACCTGAAATTTTCGGGTTCGGGTCAGTATACCTGACCCGTCACGGGTTGACGGGTCGGGTTCGGATCAACATATTTCCTGACGGGTCGGGTCAGACCCGGCCCACAAACCTGATTTGGACCCGAATTGTCACCCCCTATAACTACTCGGAATAATTGCAAATCATCCGTTTCTTTTAAAAAGATTAATGCTCGATACACTAACAGTATACACATTATCAAATTTAAAATTTAAATTTTTATGCATGTATCAAATATTCAATCAATAGTGATATTTTATGCACTGACGATGCCAGTATCTAAAAGAATTTCAAATCTAAAATCATCAGTTCTCTTTTGGTTCCGTGGCGTGGGAAAAAAAAATGTAGTATTGGTGTATGCCACTCATGGCGTGGAAAATCACGGCTCCATGGCGACAAGTTCGCATAAAATGCAGTCTCCTCTATTTTTTATTAATGTTGCAGCAACTTGCAATACAAGTCAAATAGTACAATTTGCTTCCATCGCATTAATTACACCAATACTACTATTATCTATCACAAGGTCAAGCACCGACAATCACACCATTTGGTGCATATGAACAAGTTACACGTCTGAGCGCTGTTTAATACGTCAAGTACAGGTGCACAGTGTGAGGTCGTACACCAAGTTGAGTTGATTTTAACAATTAAACTTGGCAATATCCATGCTTTTATTTATTTATTTATTCAATTTACAAACATAAATGTTTTGCGGATTTAGCTCGGTAACGTATCTGAGTTGATGATCTCAAGTAATGACATAGAAAAAAAAATAAAATGGAACAGTGAAAGTCCTTTTTTTTTTTCAAAAAAAAAAAGAGTTATTATTCATTTTACGAAGAATACCAGTTAGGTAGGATGGAAGAAGAATCTGTTAGAAAACTTGAGCTTCAAAGAATCAGATTGATTTCGAGAAACCCCATATTTTCAGATCAAAATTAAGGTAAAAGGGCGTGCAAAGACAACAACATTGCTTATCAAAAATCAAGAAAAAAAAAAAGGAATACACGCACCTGAAAAAAACTTTTTCCCTCTTAGTTTGGTATATTCATCACAAGAGAATCATGCTCAAACAGCCATTAAATTTAGGGGTTGGTTTCACCCATCCATTTGTCCCAAGGGAAATATGGACACGTACCTTTGGGAGAAATAACCATTACCAATATATTTTTCGAGTCTTGACATACTGAAACTGCTACTTTTATTCCGGGGGTGTTTGTTAAGGTACGAAGGATAACGTTTTCAATCAAAATATTCATCGCCGTGCCCGTGCGAAGACAGACAAATAAATACCGAATTTCTACTCAATTATGGTCTAATATCTATTCAAGTCCGGTCGCATCCAGACCTCCACTTTCAGCTCTTGCAAGTTTATAGTCATGTCGATCATATATCAACTAAAACTCCATGTAAGTGATTTTGTAGGTAAATCAGTACACATTTAGTATTTATCCAATCTATCGTATGTATATATGTGTATATATATATTAATAATAATTATTTTTTATTTATTTTTACCTATTCTTTCTTATATTTATTTATATTTTTTTAATTAATATTATATTTTAAAAAATATAATATCTAAAATATATTTTAACGAGTGCCCTATGAACGTTCATTTAAAAAAAATCTACCGTATGACTTGTCCTATATATTGACGGTAAGAGCAACAGCATTAGATAGTGTATTAGACTTTAGTCCAATTATTAGGGAATTAAAAAAAAAAAACGTGGGACCTGGAAGATAAAATATTAATGGACGGACAAGTGCGAAGGACAAAATGCAACCTCAGAAAAGCAAGAAACCGTAAAATGACAGGAGTTAATACAAAGTTCACCCTTTATTATCGAGTCTGGATACTCGTAATTTCAAACCGACTCACAGAACCAGAAAAAAAAAAAAAACTATCCCCTGCCCACTTTTCCAAATAAACTATGCAAATAATTAACGATCCAGTCCCACTCCAAAAATTTCAAGAAATGAAAAACCACACAATCAACTAATCCTACAACAATTTACCAAAATTAAATTTGGCTTGTAGTACTACTTGGGTATTTTGTACATCTCACTAGTCAATCTAGACCGAAATAATGGATGCTCCAAAAGTCACGCTTAAGACAAGTAAAGAAATTGTTGACGCCAATACAGTGGAAGTAGTAACCGCTGGCCTTCCCGATGATGACCCTGGCCCCGGAGGTGAGTTCGCACCAGCCGGCCCTGGAGGCGAGTTCCCACCAGCCGGCCCCGGAGGTGAGTTCGCACCGGCCGGTCCCGGCGATCCCGGTGCAGTGGGTGATGTGGGCGCTGAAGAAGGTGAGCCTGCTGCTGCAGGTGTAGGAGCCGAAGAAGGCGGTGACAAGCTAGGTGAACCTGCAGGTGTAGGAGCCGAAGAAGACGGTGACAGGCTTGGTGAACCTGCAGGTGTAGGAGCCGAAGAAGGCGGCGACAGGCTTGGTGAACCTGCAGGTGTAGGAGCTGTTGAAGGTGGAGATATGGGCGATACAGCCGGTGCAGGTCGAGGTGAAGGTGAAGGTGGTGATGCCGGAGGTTTAGGTGGGGTCCTCACAGCTAAAACATGGACGATCATCTTTTGTCCCTGGTCACAATACGTCTTGTTGCCACTGATGAAGTAGAAAGGGCCTGATCGATCAAACTTGAAGATTGAATTGCCATCTTCTAATTTGATAATTGGTTTGTCAACGTTGCACTTGTCATAATCATCTTTGTTCACCACCAAAACCGAGTTTGATCCTTTCTTGTACTTGAAAACTACATCCGAATTTTTTTAAAAAAATAAAAATCACTAATGTGTCAATGAACTTAGAAGAAATTTACTCTCAAGATATTTTGATCATTTGAGAGCCAGACTCAACTGATTAAATGGGATTTGATCAATAGTCTCTTCAAAAAAAAGGGGGAAAAAAATTACAGACTTGATGCACTGGTAATTAAGAAAATAAATATAAAAACAGTGGCGAATGCAGAACAACTTACAAAGAGTGTCATTAACTTGAAATCTCATTCTACCAGCCCAATGGTTATAATCTTCGGAAGGTTTGACTACCCATCCATCTCTACCACCAACACTGAACTGGTAAGCGTACGAACTAATAATGAAAGAAGCCATGCAAAGTAGGAAAACAGAGGGATGTCTCTTATGATCAGCCATGACCAATTGGCTGAGTGGTGTGCTCTATTTTTTGGTATTTGATTATGATTCCACTGAAAATGAAGAAAAAGAAATTCAGAGGAAAATGTTTTGTGTGGAAATGTTAGGATAGAAACTTGAAATGGGATATATAAGTTGTCTAGGAAGAAACATATAGAAATCCAATGAATGATCCAGACAAGAAGAGAAAGAAATAGGAGCTACAGTTTACGGTGGAAGACTGGAAATGGGAATATATATATATATATATATAGAGAGAGAGAGAGAGAGAGAGAGAGAGGAAGGAATTGACCTCTAACGTCCGTGAATTAACTATGTAGCTGACCAGAGACAGAAGCATCCACTGTACACGTGGTGAAGAAGTTAGAGACTTAACGGTGTTCATCATGATGGCTTACTTGGCCAGGTTTTACATTTTATTCGGTTCTTCCTGAAAGAGTACGTGAATTACTTGGACAGGTTTTCTTACAGCTTAGAGCAGGATTAGGAGTAGGAGTAGGAATAGTAACGTCAGAGTTGACCACTGACCGGAAAAAAAATTTCATGAACATCAAAATGTTAAAGCCCACTGATTGCTTGGTGGACCAAAACGTATGCAATATTAGTTTGGACTCCCCATTATCACTCCATCTCGTGAAGAAATTAGTCACATAACCGTCAGGTAGTGATTTAACTCTTTGATTTGAAATCTTCCATTTCCGCTTTATCTGAATTTAACTTTGAAATTCAAATTTTGTATATATATACAGTATATTCAATCGTGATAATGTATATCCCGTCAGCGCACGTAAAATTTACTTTTATTATTTTTGAATCGGGAGTTTTTCTGTAGAGACAATAATTTGTTTTTGATCAACAACCCCCATCTTGTTTTTTAAACCTGTTTTCAGTCGATGTAATGGCCCCAAACTTTCCTTGTGTACCTTAAGCTAAGCCAATCTATTTTTTCTTTCCCAATCGGGAACGAGAACGTAAGAAGAAAATCCTTCGTTGTCGTCATCACAAATTCAAAAATGAGACCAAATGGTCATTTTATATTTGCACAGGACTTTATACAATGGAGGATTGGATTAGGTGAAAATGTATTTGTTTATTCAACGAGTCAGTGTGCTAATATTGCGAAGCTTTTGGCCCAACATCCAGAGTCCGGAATTGCACATAACCATATGTCAGACTTACGAGCTGCCCGTGCCTTCAACTCCTATCTAAATCTCCACTTGAGGGATCTCAGTCTATTCAATCATCCTCCTTAAGCCTATGCTGAATTTTGTCTGTCATTGCTTGGGGTGAGTTCCACTCGAGTCCATTTAATAAATGAAGAAAGCAGAAGTAGCCCAATAGCTTGGCAGCACAGGCCACATATCAAGCCCATCCATAATCCCTGAACCAGGAAATCAGAAAATCATTTACAAATGCAAAACTCTCTAATACAAAACAGTCCAACTAATCACCACTAATACCAACTCCCAATATACTGCGTCAACAGAGAGTTTTAAAATCCATCAAACTCTCTTTGCAGGAATACCATCAATAATAATTGCAAATCAAAAGGATAAATGTTCTTTACACTCCCTATTTTGTTATTTGGACTTTCACTATCATTTTTATTATATAGTTTTTATTTATTAGACTATATAATATAACAATTGGTGGAACATTTTTTTTTTATCAAAAATAGAAATATGATGCAGTTATAAATAATCTTTATTTAGTCCTCCCACTTCCCATTCTTAATTTTTTTTTATCATTACCACTATCTTCATCTCCATCTAATTTTGATAACGAAACCATCACTCAACTTGTTGTTTGACAATTTTAATTTGCTAATACTTGTCAAAAATTGAAAACAAAAATGGGCATTGTTAAGCTTGGGTTTTATTACACCAACCGTTATTTCGTTGGGCTTAGATATTGTCCCATGTTAGTGGAATAAAACTCAAACCTAACGAAATAATGGTTGGTGGGATAAAATCCAAACCCAAGAGGTACAAAGAAACTATTTAGTAGCAATGAAAGAAAGAGAATTGGAAACGGACACTAAGATATGTAAGCACCAGTGGTTGGTGTACATGGTATTTTTGTTGGTATTATATAGTACACATTTGACCGACGGGAATAAATAAATATATTTAAAAGAAAAGAAAATGTAGGAGAAAGATGATAAGAGAGTTAAATGATGAAAGCTATAATTTGAGCCTGTGGTTGACGATAAATGAGAGAGATTTAATTTTTTGATAGAATTTTTCAATGAGCAGACAATTAATGAAAGGTATTATTATCTTTTTATCATATCAAGGAGGTTCCGTACTTATATATAAATATCAAGGGAGTCAAGTGAAATTTCAGAAACCTCCCATTTCAGAAAGAAACCACAGGGGAGTTTTCTGAAATTATCCCTTGAACAAAAGTTGCCCCAGTAGATACTTTGAGATGCGTGTTTTGGGTTTATATACCTTGGCATATAGTTTGAGCTTGAAACCGAGGACGGCTGCAATAGTCATGCCGATGAAATAAAAGGTTCCCAAGTTAACGATCGCTGCCAAATGCTGCCAACCACAACCTCTGGCCACACCTGATCAAGAATATAATCAAATCATGCTTTCTGGTTAAGACTGGAAATTCTTGTTAAAGTAGAGATTTATAATTAAGGGAGTTAAAAAGTAAAGGGTGGAGTAGAAAGCCTCTACCAGATAAGATTCCTTGGATGAAATCAAATAGAATGGAGATCACTAGCAAAGGTGTCAGGGAAGCAAACTTGCTAATTATTACTGAGCTACTACTGAAGAAGCCAGCCCAAATATTGCGACCAAGATATAATGCCGAAACCACGATAAGTCCAAAAACAACAGTGAGCTTGAGAGTCACAATCATGGCATGCTTGGCTCTTTCTGGATTTCCGGCACCTAATTCATTTGACACCCTGGTGCTGCAAGATCCAGTTGGATTTTTCGTTGCTCAGTGGTCCAAATGGGAAGAAAAAGCGTTAAAATGGACACATCAAAATCAAACCAACAACTTTACTTGTACCTTGCAGCTGCACTGAGGCCATAAGCAATCATGTAGGCAATGGCTTCTGTATTTACACTGTGGAAGCAGACACCCCATAAATGAAACTTGGCAAGGCAATTAACTATATGAAAGTGCGTACTCAACTGTTCAAATTGTAAGAGGGTGCTGGTTCAAGGCAACGAAGCACTTACCACATTGCAATCACTGAAGTAGTAATTTCTGGATTTGGCATGAGTCCAGCTAGTAGGACAAGAAGCTCAAAAGCCCAGTACTCCAAACTGTAATACAGGATGTCACAATCCAAAAGCAATGTAGCCCTTCTGTATCAGTTAATACAGCGCGAAACAACTATAATTAACTAAACAAGAATATACATTTCAACTTGATCCGCCTGTCAAAGCGCTACATACTTCCTTATGCGTTGAATCTCAAGAAATTAAGTGCCAATTTGATCTCAAAACAAGAATTTTACAAAATGTTGTGACTTTTGAAAGTTGTTGGCCATGTGATTTTATCTCCTTATCCCAATGTTTCAGATATCTCTACCCCTGTCTTTTAGAGCACACCCTCGCGAATCTTTAAAATTCCAAGCAATCAAAGGAATGATTGAGAAGTTTTATATGTGTATGCCTATCTTTATCTCTCTGTCCATGGAAATACCTTTATATGTACGGTGCCTGTGATGCTACTAGAATCCAATCAAAATATCACATTTTTTCTGTTTGTGAAATGCATGCTTGGACTTTAAGAATTGCTGATTAAACACTTACCAAACCATTGCAGCACAGGGCAGTGCCAGCTTCAAGTCTACAAGGATATAATGAAATGACTCCGCTGAAAATCCATCCCAAGTATGCTTAAATTTATTTGCGCGAAGAACGTACATGCCCAACATGAGAAGGGAGATCCACAATGATATTGAGGCGGCTAATGGTGCTCCAGTAAAAGCAAGGGGTGTCCATTTAACCAGAATGAAGGTAATCCCGATGTGGATAACCAATGGAACGACTGAGCACACAACCAGTGGTGCCACAACTGATTGAGTCTGAAGAAACCTCAGAATATTTTGCAGAATCCCGTATGCAAATAATCCTGGTATTAGAAACTTCAGGTACAGACCAGCTGCTCTTGATATTTCCGAATCTTGACGAAAAAATATCAAGATTATGTCGGAGAACCACCAGAGTATTGATACAAGAACAGAAAATGATAGCGATATTGTGCAAGTTGCTTGTAGATGTATTCCCAGCAATCTATACAGCTTTGCGCCATAGCCTTGCCCACACAAGGTTTCAAGTGCACCACTCAGGCCCACCTGAAATGGTAAGTGAGAAATTAACTCCCATCCGTTAATTTCATCTATAGTGCCAAGGATTAATATTAGTAACACTTTGTCCCCTTGAACTTTGGGGGTAGTCTTACACTTCACCCCAAAAGGCTAGTCAACCTTAAAAATCTTAACTCCATATTAAGACCAAAAAAAAAGTGTTATAACAACATTGGCCCAAAATTGTTAATGGTTTACAATTATTGCCCTTTTTTGGAACAAAAAAAGTTGAAATTTGTTCTGATCTTTTCTTTTCTTCCTTCACCAAGTTTAGAAATAAGACATCCCAGTCATTTTTAACAATTTTGGTTAAGTATTTAATATTGGACTAATTTGGAAAACAGAAAATGATACTACTATAATTTTAACATATATAAACTAATACAATAAAAAAATTAAAAAATAACAAGTTTGATATTATCTTTTTTTTAAAATTTTTGAACTCATTTATTATTAGCGTGTTATTTATCCTTACTGTTTGATTTAAAATCCAAAAAATTGAACAAAGTAATAAGTGTGCACGAATCCAATAGGAGAAATTTTAAGGATATTTTAGCTTTTATCAACTTGAATTTTTATAAACTAGATAGAGCAAAGAAGATGTATATTTTTTTAGCAATAAAAGGGAAATAATATGCAAGTTACACATAATCTCATAAATAAGAGGCAATCACATCATTGTACTATTTTTTTTTTTTTCATTTTTATGTGTGACTAGTTTTCATAGATAGTGAAATGTATATTTCTAAAGTTGAAAGTGATAAAGTGTAACCACTAACAAGGTTCAGGAGCAAAAGAAGGAAGTGAAGCATGTTACAGGGGGGCGCAAGCATATCATATCACCAAATGAATATGAGGTCGATGACTATTTAATCACTAATTACATCACTTTGGTGGAAGAATGCAATTAAGTTTCCTGATTTGCTCTCTAGTTTTCTATTGAAAATTTGCATCCCTTATTGTTTACAGCTCCAGCGCTACTTAAAATGGTCAACAACCAAAAGCATCAAACAGCCTACAAATATAGATGGAAAAGGACGAGCAAATCCATGGGCTGCCACAAAATTATTTAATTTGTGCTAAATGCGAGGAGGGCCACATGGTCCTCACACCTGCCTTCGGCTTTATCAGAGAATTTATGAGCAGGAGGCAAAGAAAATCGCCAAAATAGACCTAATCCCGAGTCTTGGTAGGCCAGTATACAATTGAATAAAGGATATTAACAGATGAGTCCTGAAAACGGCACCTCTCTTTTTTCTCTTTTCTTTTTTTTTTTTTTTTGGGGGTCAAATGCTCACATCTTTTTATTGTCACTCGTCAGGTTGCGAGCCGTAATTCCATTCCTAAGAATCTAGCTCAAGTGGGTCTGTGAAAAGTGGAAACAAATCTTGATTCAACGACATATTAGTGGCTTGGGCAGATAATGGAGGCAAACGAAGGCGTCAGATTGAACCTCAGGAAAAAGAACAACATAAAGTCCATGCATACGACTGTTAATTGAATTTTTTAAGGCCAAGTATCTTGGATAGAAGCAGAAGATAAATTGGTACGAAGAGTGAGTGAAAAATATATAAATATATATACATGTACCATGAGGGCGAGGCCGGTGACGGCGGCCCAAGAATTTGCGAGGGTGGAGGCAGCGAGTTCAAGTTGTCCAAGATGGCCGGCGAACATGACGGAGACTAGAGGGATCAAGTAGTATGAAACATTAGTCAGAATCATAGGTAGAGAAAACAATATCTGGTTCTTGCTTTCTCCCACGTCCAAGATCTTGTTCCAACACCTGTCTCTTGCTGCTGCTGCTTCACCTTCGTTATTAATACTCCTTGACTCTGTTCTTCCTACTAGCAAGGGGCTAGTATTTGCCTCTGATTCTGAACCAGTAATATTTGATTGCATCTTTTTTATGGTAATACTAATATTTTGCCCTCTACTCTTTCTGCCCGTCTTGGCGATCGCCTGTTTTCCTGGCTTCTCACTCTGCTGCTTTCGTTTCTTCCTCGTCTTGTTTTAGTTGGTCTCGTCAGGGATTTTTCTATAACGAAGACAGTACGGATGTCTCCACCAAGAGAAAAGCTGGCCAGATGAAGGATCCATTGACACCTGTCCAGCCACGGAAATCAAGGCTGCATGGAAACGGAAAGGAGAATTGCGGAGCCCGCAACGGATCTTCTGTCCCACACCCTGTGCCACTCTGTCTCACTTTTTATTATATTGTTATTTCTCATTCATAAATATCATGTTTTAATTCTTTTTTGCTTCCTTAAGATCCAATAACTATTAATTCAGTAAAAAATAAATATAACATCTTCAAAAAAGCAATATATAATAGAAAATTAAAAAATACAGCAGAAAATTCATAAAAAATCTCATTTTTTATGCATTTTGATTTTTTGAGTATGTTAAATTTTGTGTATTACTGAATTAATAGTTATTGGATCTTAAGGAAGTAAAAAAGAATTAAAACATGATGTTTATGAATGAGAAATAGCAATATAATAAAAAGTGGGATAGAGAGTGGCACAGGATATGGGACAGAAGATCCATTGCGTGCTGAGCCGGTGTTGTTGCAGGCGGCACATGTTCTAGCTGGACGTCCACGTCAAAGCAGATGGCGAGAAATCTGTGATGTTCCAGTTGGACGTCCGTATCATTGCAAACGTGGAAAGATGATTAAGTTAAGAACGGAGACCAACGGAACACTAAATTGCAAGTGGCCCCTAAAATAGGCTTGCTAGTAAAAGGGGTAATTTCAGAAACATCCCCCACAATTTTTAACAAGTACACATACCTCTGTTGAGATTTAAAAAAGATAATTGAACGGTTAAATATTGTAATGAAATTCTCTTATTTGGTATACGTATATTTATAATGAGTTTCCAAATTATTTGTTAATTCTTTTTCCTCCTTATTTGTTGTTGTTATTTTTTCGTCAATTAAGCTGTAGAACGGTCACTATTGTCTCTAGTTTCTATTGTAATTAAATGTCGAATTAGTAATTTTTGTATGAGTTAATTTTATATGTAATTCAATGTTTTTATTTGTCTTGTTTCCATTTTTTTAACCGACAAAAAATGAAAAAGAAATAGGCCAAAACCATTATTAATTTATGATAATTCCATTACTTGAAAAATTAATAAAGTCTAAATGATTTTTTAACATATTTTTTCTAGCTTATAAATCTAAATCCATAATAAAATATCATGAAAAAGTTTCCAATCATAATAATAAAATTATTATTATAGTTTTTTATAAAATAGTAGATATGGACATAAAAAAATTTGGCACCTATTCCGTATAATTGTACTAAATAATCTTATAATTGTATAGAAAACAATTTAAACTCATTATACAAGGGCATTTATGGGTATTTATTTAAATTTGTCAAAATCAATATTATTTTAATATATTGTTACTAAAACTATTGAATTAATGGAGGTAAGTGTAATTTTTCAAATTTCACGAGAGTTCAATGAAATTGTCAAAAACCTCATGAGAGGTTTCCGAAATCATCCCCAAACAAAAAGCATAGTATAGATGCAAGTAATTTGTCGCAGGTTTAGTATGTTCATGAATAACAACTTTTATTTTGCGAGTGCAATTTTTTTTTTTTTTGCTCAATGATTAATTATGAATTGATCCAAGGTGTAAATAAATCTATAATAATCTTTTGTCAAAGTATTCATAGTTGTATGATGAAATAATTGCATTTGAAGTATTTATGTACCATAGTAGTCTTTAAAAATTTATGTATACAAAAATAGTGTGGTGCAATCATATATGCTAAATACTACAATTCATACAATAGATGAAATGTATTCTCTGGGGTGGTAATTAAATTTATGATGTATGCGATTATATTGACATCGGTAGTCATTTTAAGTAGAAATAAAAGGAAAGATAGCATAATACATTTGTGCATTAGTTGCGTATTACTATGTAACAGATTAATAAGTTAACGAATATAAAAAATGAATTAATAAATGTACACGCAAAGTACTCTGTATGATAATGCAAGTGTATTGAAAATGGATGAATAAAATTAGAAGGCAAGGATAAAAGAATAACTCAAATGCATTAGGTGTGATAGAGGTTATTAGAAGAGACAAATTATAAATGAAATTAGTTGGAAGAGAGTTAGATGAAAAAATAAGCAAAAATCAAGTAGAACAAATTAGTTGTTATACAATCAATTCTTGAAATAATAAATATGGTATATGTGTGTATGCATGCATACATGTGTATATGTGTATGTATTAGTAACCACGATGAAGTCGAACATTCCATATAGGCGCACTTTTGGCGGATATGAAAAGTGAGATTTATGGTCCATAAAAAGGATGTGATTAAAAGTTATATGATGGAAGCAAAAAAAAGTTAAGTATTGTTACGTTTTTTTAGTATAAGTGGCAGATCTCGAACTTAGAAATAGGTTCATACACTCCATTCCACGTACCATCTAAATCATCAATTCCTCTCTAAGTTTCGTGCATAGTACAAGTAAAGGTGTCATGAACATGTTCGAGTTCGGTTCATTTGAGTGACAAAAAAGATTGATTGTGTAATAAACGAATCAAACTTGAACACGATGTTAAGTTCATTTAATAGTCGAGACGAGCACGATCCTATTTACAAACTATTCAAATAGTTCGTGAACACATATATAATGACAAAGAATAAATGAATAGCAATATGCGTATATATTTAAATATAGGATATATATGTCTTGTTTCATTAAAAAAGTAATTATACATGAAATGAATATTATTTAATTTGTAAAAAAAAGAAGCGTAATTAAATTTATTCTAAATCATGAATGATTTTTAAATGCATAATGAAATAGTTTTCAAACTGAAATTGGAGTTAGAGCTCAAGGTTGAATTTGATTCCAGGATATTTTAACAAATTGACATCGAATTTGAAGTCGAACATATATACAAATTATTGAAGCGAATTCGAGCAACATTTATAGGTCGTTTAATATTCAATCAAGGTCAAATTATGTTCATATAATATGTGAATATATGTTGAACATCATGAAATATAATGGATTTGGCTCGTGGAAAACATATTATACAAGTATAATAAAGGTAAGAAAATCTGTGAACCTAGTAAAATTAAATGGTAGAAAAAGTGAATAGAAAGTAGATGAATGATCGATTGCTAAGTAGAAAAAAGGGAAAACATTTGTTTTGGGTAATTTGGCAGAGAGCAAAATGCACAAGATATTAGCAATGCTTTAAAACCTAGTTAAGACTATATGCTCGATGTAGTTACAACGTTGCATAGAAATGAGCTTATCGATTAAAAAAATGAGAAAATTGCCGAGTTGTGTTGTTAACCTCTTAAATGGGAACAATTTTGAGAGAACTTAGTGATGCTATATGTTGCTTTAATGAAGTCCCAAAAAGATTAAAATCGGTCAACGAATATAACATTAATAATATTTATCATAGGTGTCAATGCATCTCATTTGTATGTACTTTTTTTGAATGCCTATCGTACAAAATAGTATTCACATAATTAAGATAATTTAAAATGTGAATGTTAAAAATGAAATAACTAATTGTCTGGAAATGTGTTTGTAGTTTGTACTTATATAATTTACCTTAGTCTAAAATAGCCAACGGTGAGGACATTAAAATAAGGATTCTTGCCAAAGCAATCCAAGAATTGGTTGGGAATCTTACAAGATAGGTTCATTATTATGTCTCTGATAAATGGTCATAATTTCATCTGGGTTTGAATCGTACTGAGAGGTACAATAATTTAGAGTTAAAAAAATTGTTGAAAAAACAACAAGATATTCCTTTTGTCCTTTCTAGGCAATCGAAAAAATATATTGAAGGTACTTATGTCTTTACAAAATACCATTTCAATTCATCTTATTTTATTAAATATGGGATGTGATATAATTATGAAGGATGAATCGAATATATATGTAATATTTGTACTTTTAGTTTGCAAAACAGTACGTGGTGCTGATTCATTTCAATTATTTTCATTACCCGCTAACACCTCGACCGCCCACTAAGCATTCACAGGTCCCATGGATAACACCTAACTCACTGTCAAACCGGTAAGAAACCAATACTGTTGGGCTGCAACCAAATAGCACGTGCTGGCCCTTCCCATCAATGCTGCTGCGTTGGCTCATTGCACACCACATCCTTCCAAACCGTTGCTATACTCTTCCCGGAGACATCCGTACTGTCTCCACTATATAACCATCCGTCTCGTCAGTGGCTTATTTACTTCGATATGGCCACGTTTTGAATGCGGTAAGTCGCCAGTCCTTTATGGTTCACCCGTTATTACACAGTAGTTAAGTCGCCAGCCCTTTATTGTTCACTAGTTATTTACTTCGATACGGCCACGTTTTGAATGTGGTTAGTCGCCAGTCCTTTATGGTTCACTAGTTATTACACAGTAAATTGTACTGGAAAATTTTTTGTAATCCAAGTTGTCTATACATACATATATATATATATATATATATATCCAAGTGGCTTATATCCAAGTTGTATTGTCTACTAAATTTGGTGTATTCTCATGCCATGCACCTATCTAATTTGGTATATTCTCACTATACATATATATATATATATATATATATATATATATATATAACAATACCGAATTTGGAAAGAAATACAATAATTATACGCAACCGGACGAAACACAGCCATGTTGCCCTGGTCCATGGAAAATGTCATAATTCCATCCTTATCCATCCAGACAAGAAGAGTCCTGCAAGGAAGTGTGCTTTTATATATATCGAACTTCAAAAATAAATTGATTCTTAGGCCTATATTTTTTCAAAATCAATATGATTGTATTTTTTTTTACCTCAAAAATAATCTCTTGTAGTATTACCACATCACAATACTATACTCCATAAAAATATAAATTTGAAAAAATAAAAATATATTC